AATGGTTTTAAGTTGGAAAAATTCAGATTCAGGAAGGATATAGGAAAGTACTGGTTTGGTAATAGAGTTGTGGATGAGTGGAACAAACTCCCAAGTACCGTTATAGAGGCCAGAACGTTGTGTAGCTTTAAAAATAGGTTGGATAAATACATGAGTAGATGTGGGTGGGTGTGAGTTAGACCTGATAGCTTGTGCTAACAGGTCGGTTGCCGTGTTCCTCCCTTAAGTCAATATGACCTGACCTGTCTAGGTTGGGTGCATTGGCTTAAGCCGGTAGGAGACTTGGACCTGCCTCGCATGGGCCAGTAGGCCTTCTGCAGTGTTCCTTCGTTCTTATGTTCTTATGTTCTTATGTTTTTATGTGATTTCGTGTATAGGGCAAGGAGGAATAACATCTTGTAGGAGTGAGGAAGAGCCAGTTGTGAGTGTGGGGGAAGTTCGTGAGGCAGTAGGTAAAATGAAAGGGGGTAAGGCAGCCGGGATTGATGGGATAAAGATAGAAATGTTAAAAGCAGGTGGGGATATAGTTTTGGAGTGGTTGGTGCAATTATTTAATAAATGTATGGAAGAGGGTAAGGTACCTAGGGATTGGCAGAGAGCATGCATAGTTCCTTTGTATAAAGGCAAAGGGGATAAAAGAGAGTGCAAAAATTATAGGGGGATAAGTCTGTTGAGTGTACCTGGTAAAGTGTATGGTAGAGTTATAATTGAAAGAATTAAGAGTAAGACGGAGAATAGGATAGCAGATGAACAAGGAGGCTTTAGGAAAGGTAGGGGGTGTGTGGACCAGGTGTTTACAGTGAAACATATAAGTGAACAGTATTTAGATAAGGCTAAAGAGGTCTTTGTGGCATTCATGGATTTGGAAAAGGCGTATGACAGGGTGGATAGGGGGGCAATGTGGCAGATGTTGCAAGTGTATGGTGTAGGAGGTAGGTTACTGAAAGCAGTGAAGAGTTTTTACGAGGATAGTGAGGCTCAAGTTAGAGTATGTAGGAAAGAGGGAAATTTTTTCCCAGTAAAAGTAGGCCTTAGACAAGGATGTGTGATGTCACCGTGGTTGTTTAATATATTTATAGATGGGGTTGTAAGAGAAGTAAATGCGAGGGTCTTGGCAAGAGGCGTGGAGTTAAAAGATAAAGAATCACACACAAAGTGGGAGTTGTCACAGCTGCTCTTTGCCGATGACACTGTGCTCTTGGGAGATTCTGAAGAGAAGTTGCAGAGATTGGTGGATGAATTTGGTAGGGTGTGCAAAAGAAGAAAATTAAAGGTGAATACAGGAAAGAGTAAGGTTATGAGGATAACAAAAAGATTAGGTGATGAAAGATTGAATATCAGATTGGAGGGAGAGAGTATGGAGGAGGTGAACGTATTCAGATATTTGGGAGTGGACGTGTCAGCGGATGGGTCTATGAAAGATGAGGTGAATCATAGAATTGATGAGGGAAAAAGAGTGAGTGGTGCACTTAGGAGTCTGTGGAGACAAAGAACTTTGTCCTTGGAGGCAAAGAGGGGAATGTATGAGAGTATAGTTTTACCAACGCTCTTATATGGGTGTGAAGCGTGGGTGATGAATGTTGCAGCGAGGAGAAGGCTGGAGGCAGTGGAGATGTCATGTCTGAGGGCAATGTGTGGTGTGAATATAATGCAGAGAATTCGTAGTTTGGAAGTTAGGAGGAGGTGCGGGATTACCAAAACTGTTGTCCAGAGGGCTGAGGAAGGGTTGTTGAGGTGGTTCGGACATGTAGAGAGAATGGAGCGAAACAGAATGACTTCAAGAGTGTATCAGTCTGTAGTGGAAGGAAGGCGGGGTAGGGGTCGGCCTAGGAAGGGTTGGAGGGAGGGGGTAAAGGAGGTTTTGTGTGCGAGGGGCTTGGACTTCCAGCAGGCATGCGTGAGCGTGTTTGATAGGAGTGAATGGAGACAAATGGTTTTTAATACTTGACGTGCTGTTGGAGTGTGAGCAAAGTAACATTTATGAAGGGATTCAGGGAAACCGGCAGGCCGGACTTGAGTCCTGGAGATGGGAAGTACAGTGCCTGCACTCTGAAGGAGGGGTGTTAATGTTGCAGTTTAAAAACTGTAGTGTAGAGCACCCTTCTGGCAAGACAGTGATGGAGTGAATGATGGTGAAAGTTTTTCTTTTTCGGGCCACCCTGCCTTGGTGGGAATCGGCCGGTGTGATAATAAAAAAATAATAATAAATACATTTTTATTTAAAAACCTGTAACAAAAAAAATTGGGGTGGTTTTTTGGGGGCTGAAACAGATTAATGGCATTTCAATTAATTTCAATGAGGAAAAATTATTTGATATACGAGCAAATTGAGTTACGAGCTCGGTCACGGAAAGAATTAAACTCGTAAGTCAAGGTACCACTCTATGTCATAACATTTTTTCCACTATCCAATGTCATGAAAAAAATTATTCAAAGAAGAGCAAGCCATGAGAATTACTGTTAGAAACATACCAGGGCTTGAATAAGGGGAAAATAATCTCACATGTAATTTACTGGAGAATGAGAAAAATAATCTCAAATGCAATTTATTGGAGTAGGGGAAACATAATCTCAAATGTGATTTACTGAAGTAGGGGAAAAATAATCTCAAATATAATTTATTGGAATAACATAGTTACCTTCTTGTCAACATTTGTACATGATGAATCAAAATATCGGGAGCAAGGGGCTAGTAACCTCTTCTCCTGTATATATTACTAAATGTGAAAGGAGAAACTTTCGTTTTTCCTTTTGAGCCACCCCACATCAGTGGGATACGGTAGGTGTGTTGAAAGAAGAAAGAATCAAAATATATAATAAGGTGGGGTAGGGGTCATTCTAGGAAAGGATGAAGGGAAAGGGGAATGGAAGGAAGTTTTCTGTGCAAGTGGCTTGGATATACAGCAGGTATGAGTGTGTTAGATAGGAGTGGAGACAAATGGTTTTTAGGACTTGATGAGCTACTGAAGTGTGAGCAGGGTAATATTTTATGAAGGGATTCAGGGAAACTGGTTAGCTGGACTTGAATCCTGGAGGTGGAAAGTACAGAGCCTGCACTCTAAAGGAGGCATTTAGGATATTTGCTGTTTAGAGTGACATCTAAACTGTTATATCTGCACACCTCTGGGAAGACTGATATTGTGAATGATGGTGAAAGTGTTTCTTTTCTGGGGTCACCCTGCCTTGGTGGGAGATGGCCAGCATGTTAAAAAAAAAAAAATTCTGTTCACTCGGATCTGAAGTGCACAACCACCAGAACACATGACAACTGTTAAACATTGTGTACAGTATCATGCACACCTATTGTTAGTGTATTATGCTCATGGAGAAGTGCTAAACCCATAGGGGTCATACAGTGCCTGGGGAATAAGAGACAATCAGGGTTGACCCTAAAAGTAGCTCCAATTCCTTGGATCATGAGTCTATCACCAGAACTAAGGCACGTCCACTGAAGGGTATTATGCACTAGTCAAAATATATTAAACTAAAAAAAAAAAAAAAAAAAATTCCAGTTTTCACTTTCTCTAAATGAATAAATATTGCTTGTAGTGAATCTTGTATGAATAAAATAATCATCATGTTGTGGTTAGTTACTGTATATGTACTGTATTTATTTTATTATTATTAACACACTGGCCTTCTCCCACCAAGGCAGAGTGGCCCGAAAAAGAAAACTTTCATCATCGTTCACTCCATCACTGCCTTGCCAGGGGTGTGTTTACACTTCAGTTATAAAACTGCAACATTAACACCCCTCCTTCAGAGTGCACAGACTGTACTTCCCATCTTTAGGACTCAAGTCCGGCCTGCTGGTATACTGTACTGTATACTGTAATAATGTTGGTAGAATTACCAACAATATGTAAAGTAAAAGGACACAAGTGCAACTAATGTGACATTTTACTGTGGCAACGTTTCACTCTCCAGGAGCTTTGTAAGCCTAGGCTTGACAAAGCTCCTGGAGAGCGAAACGTTGCCACAATAAAATGTCACATTAGTTACACTTGTGTCCTTTTACCTTACATACTGTATACTGAGTACACCATCACAAAATTTTCAAATTTCATTTTTCTTTTTACTATGGGAGACATATCCACAATGTTATTTAAAGGTAGCGTAAACTTTATCACAGAGAATAAGACAATTTTACAATGAACACCATTTTCAGTTATGCCTGCTGTCAATAGCATTGAAAAACCTCATACATACTATACATTATCTTACCATCACTACTATAAATTAAACATAGCACTGAAAAACCTTATACATACTATGTATTATCTTACCTGCAACTACAGTATTATATTTTGAAAACAGTATAGGTACTAAAAATCTTAACCCTTAAACAGTCCAAATGTATACATATGTTTACGTGCATAGCGCCCCAAATGTATATATACGTTTTCTTTGTCATTCATTCAACACTGCCATGTTAAGCCTGAGTCACCTAGACATGAGAGAATGGGTGTGTGCACTAACTGTGCACCATATTAAAATAACTGGGGACGCCTGGGTACCACATGCTCTTTTTTCCTATGAAAAAAAAATTTCTCAAAAAATTTGGGGCGCTACGTGAGTGAATGTATATATACATTTGGACCGTTTAGGGGTTAAAATATTCAAAAAGTATAAATGATACTCCAAAATGAACAACAAAAATTATTATAATATTTAATATTTATTAGGAAGAGCTACTATAAGAGTGTAAAGCTCATGCAGTGCCTGAGAAATCAGGTTTGAGCTGTGGAAGGGAAGAATAGCTCTAATTCTCTGAACCAAGAGCCCTTTCAACAGTTTGAAGATATCCCCTTCCCCCTTGAAGGTCATCAGAGCAGAAATTACAGTATCACCCAAAACAGTAAAGATACGTTAACTTATTAACACTAGGCCTTTGTAAAGCTGCACTTATGCCATACTGTTTGATGTTAAATGGTAGCTTATTACCACTTAATCAATGATCAAGAATTTCTGCTTGTTATATGTAACAAAAGCATACTCACCGATCTGAAATTGTGCTGCCCATTTCAGCCATCATTGCTGTCCACTCACTGAATATCTCATTAGCATCTGGACTTAGTACTTCTTCATCATACCTTGTAAGAAAATATATGAAAGATCAATCTCATTAAACACCACCACCACTTAAATCTCACTACTAAGAAGAAATATTTTAAAGCATCACATTGGTGTGAAAAATACCATGCAATTCAGTCAAGAAGACTAGGTGAAGAACAAGGGTGGAACAAGACAATCATCTGGTCAACTACAAATACACATGTTGTCATACTAGTAAGCCTTTTACAAAATTTAAGTCTAAAACAAGAACTCAGTTACTACACTATAACTGCATAGTTCAATTAATTTTATAATTTAACACTTGTCTCTGTGATTTGACGAATAAAATGGTATGAATAGCTGTGTGCGCATAAACCTTGCTGCATTTCCTGATTTTTTTCTTTGAACACAATGGTCATCTCCCCCCAAGACAAGGTTTTCTTCTTTATACATTTATTAATTTATACAGAATGGGTTACTAGCCCCTTGGTCATGGCATTTTAGTCAGTTGCCTCCTACAACATGCAAGGCTTGTGGAGGAAGGAGTTGTTTCCACTTCTCCATGGATAGTATGCGCTATCTCTACAATAAATGAATTGTTAATCATTTATTACTTTTTCTTAAATAAAATGCTGACTATTTTATTATAACTACAAAGCTAAAAAATACTGAAGAAAATACTTAACACTGTCTTCACAATAAACACTTTGGGCATAATTTTGTATTATCATTTTGTATCCTTAATGAAAAAAGTATTTTAAATGAAGACCACAATACAGTGACTCATTATACACAATCATCTGCATTAGTACTACCATGTTTTCCACATTCATAAAACGCATTAACAAGATTTTTTTTTTTTCAACAAGTCGGCCGTCTCCCACTGAGGCAGGGTGACCCAAAAAGAAAGAAAATCCCCAAAAAGAAAATACTTTCATCATTCAACACTTTCACCTCACTCACACATAATCACTGTTTTTGCAGAGGTGCTCAGAACACAACAGTTTAGAAGCATATACGTATAAAGATACACAAACAAGATTTTTTTTTTTTTTCAACAAGTCAGCCGTCTCCCACCGAGGCAGGGTGACCCCAAAAAAGAAAGAAAATCCCCAAAAAGAAAATACTTTCATCATCATTCAACACTTTCACCACACTCACACATTATCACTGTTTTTGCAGAGGTGCTCAGAATACAACAGTTTAGAAGCATATATGTATAAAGATATACAACATATCCCTCTAAACTGATATAAACATATAAAACTATTATGCAATAATTCAGAAGCATTCATATGTTAAGCTAAACATTCAGAGTAATGCAAATAATTCAAAATTATATCATGCAAATTAATTACAGAGTTAAATAAACTACTATTTTGATTCAACTGTCATATATACTGATCAATGAAAAGTGACAAATCACTTGACAGAAAAGTAAGAAGAGAAATCTACATACTGCATTTTGACCATGGTCAAAGGCCCCCCTTCATTGTTTTTTTTTTTTTCTATTTCATTTTTCTGTCTACGTGTTTTTTTTTTTCCATTTCAGTTAAGACTAATATACAGTTCAGCACTGCCAAACAGTAATGGGCTGCACTTTCTGTAATGTATTACAATTTTCAATCTTCATTGTGCAAAAAAGTTAGGATTAACATAGTTTTTTCAAGCTTCACACTGTACTTTCAGTAACAACTAAAGAATTTGTTCACTGTATATCTTTATAGCCTTCCTTAACAGCAAACTTACTGTATTTTGTTTTCTTGCTCCCCATCTCAACCTTCCCTCACCTTTATACAGTGGTACCCTGAGTTTTGGCCATAATTCATTCCAGAAGGCTGTTCGAGTGTCGTTACCAAACAAATTTGTTCCCATATGGAATAATGTAAATTAGATTAGTCCATTTCAGACCCCCAAAAATACACTTACAATAATACACTTACATAATTGTTTGAGTTAGGAGCTGTACAAAACTCAGGGTACCACTGCATTACATAAGCTTGCTGATGCAACTTTCATCTTAAATATTTCTTAATGGAAGAAATAACTGAATTCGTTATTAAATTTATAATTCAAATTAAATTTCCAGAAACCTCAGTATGCTACTTTGAACTGTGTTAACATAAAAAATACCAAAATGATTTGTTAAGATTGTATGCAGCATTTATTTGAGCTGTCATTTTCCATTTATGTAAGCTAAGGGTGTGACCAAAAGGAAGAAAATACATTCACCATCACTCATTCTCTAACTGTCTTTACAGAAGTGCACAAACTTCATATTTTAAAAAGCCTTTCTATCCATGGTAAACTTGATACTGTAAGTGCTTCCAACACAAACTTAACACTCATATTTAACGAAACATGGTTAATAATCATGTATGTAAACTCATCGTGTTTAAGAGATTCGCTACATTTCTTGGGATTGCAAATTTAATTTCTAATGGAACCAAAAGGCAGCTAGTACTGTAATGGCTGTTTTCATATAGAAAAACTAGTTGTGTATCTTTATATGTGTATGCTTGTTAACTGTTGTATTCTGAGCACCTCTGCAAAAACAGTGATAATGTGCGAGTGTGGTGAAAGTGTTGAATGATGATGAAAGTATTTTCTTTTTGGGGATTTTCTTTCTTTTTTTTGGGTCACCCTGCCTCGGTGGGAGACGGCCGACTTGTTGAGAAAAAAAAAAAGAAAAAAAAAAAAATTACCGAAAAGCATAACTCAAAATTAGTTTCAGCTACACTAGCAGGCAATTTCTGGGAAAAATTCTGTTAATGAAAAGTGAATACTGTATTATTAATAGGCAGTAAAAAGGGCTCTGGATACAAGTAAAAAATTAGCTATTAAAAGGCCAGATCAGCTCAGATAGGCACTGTATGGCTAGACTGACAAGAGGAGACTCCAACCTTCGTCCAGGAATGGTAATGTGAAGGTGCATCTTTTTTGGCCGCGCCCCAGTTAGAGTCCCTGGGAGGCTGATACTGAGGGACGAACTGTTAGAGGACCTGTTAGATGAACTGGTAAACAAACTAATCACAAACATGCAGCAATAACATATTAAACTAAAAAAAAATTAAGAAAAATACTAATCAAAAAACTTTTCCAACAAAATACTGTATTTTGCACTAAGTGTAGAAAACAAATAATTTCTAAACTTTGCCATCATGCACTGGATAAATAGAAAAATGACATGCAGCTAGAACTGGAAGTTACAACACATTATACAAAAGAGTAATGAACACAAATAAAATTCTTGATTTAATCACAAAATTATTTAAACAAATAAAGTAACAAATACTGTACAACATCATTTCTTTCGCAAGTAAGACTATTACTGGAAATTATGTCAACATATGAGGTGTTGTACAGCAGAAAAGAATAAGCACCAAAGTCAAGGAACCAAGAAACACACAGGCGTGTGTGATAAAACAATGTCGACATTCCCACAAACAGAAGAAACATTAAGGAATTGATATGTTCACTAACCCAGATTTAGCCCCAGTGGCACTTATTTTGTTTTTGCCATGCAATGCCTCATATGTAAACATACTACTTGCTAAAACTAAAGACATTTAGACAACTGACTCCATGGCAAGACAAAGCAACAGCCATTAACAAAAACTATGACAAAGCTTAATAAAATTTTAGATTAAACTTTTCCTGTAAACAGATCCAAATTTTATTATCAAAATAAATAAATCAAATAGCTAAATTCTCATGGCAATAGATTTCTAAGGATCATAAGAGAAGTGTCAATGCACACCATTCCAGCTTCACATGATGCAGAACACTTGCTTACAAGAATGATAATTAAAACTTACCCTCCTGCTTTAATTTCATCAGCATCAAAATCGAGCATAAGGTCATCTGCTCCAAGACTAGAGGTTGTATCTACACTGTCAGCACGACTTCTGCCCATCTCTGCCAGTGCTACAAAATTTAATAAATTGTGAGGGATCTATTGTAGTGTTGCATACCATATATGCCTATAGAAATTCCAGTGTTCAACACTGCAATTTATAACAATAATTAGTCAACTTTTGTGTACAAGCAAATGTATTTACAACAGGACTCTATGCTTAAAATAACTGCAATTTAACTTTTTGGGGGTTGCAATGTTTCCCACCAAGGTAGGGTGACCCAGAGAAAATATCTTTCATTTTCATTTTAATAATAAAATAGAAGTGATACAAGGAGGGAGGAATATATGGAAAGAAAAAGAGAGGTTAAGAGAGTAGTGAAGGAATGCAAAAAGAGACCAAATGAGAGAGTGGGTAAGATGTTATCAGCAAATTTTGTTGAAAATAAGAAAAAGTTTTGGAGTGAGATTAATACGCTGAGAAAGCCTAGGGAACAAATAGATTTGACAGTTAAAAATAGGAGAGGAGAATTATTAGATGGAGAGTTAGAGGTATTGGGAAGATGGAGAGAATATTTTGAGGAATTGTTAAATGTTAATGAAGATAGGAAAGCTGTGATTTTGTGTATTGGGCAGGGAGGAATAACATCTTGTAGGAGTGAGGAAGAGCCAGCTGTGAGTGTGGGGGAAATGCTTGAGGCAGTGAGTAGAATGAAAAGGGGTAAAGCAGCTGGGATTGATAGGATAAAGACACATGTTAAAAGCAGGGGAGGATATAGTTTGGGAATGGTTAGTTCTTTTATATAATAAATGTATGGAAAGGGTAAGGTTCCTAAGGATTGGCAGAGAGCATGTATAGTTCCTTTGTATAACGGCAAAGGGAACAAAAGAGAATGTAAAAATTATAGGGGAATATGCCTGTTGAGTATGCCTGGTAAAGTCTATGGTAGAGTTATTATTGAAAAAATAAGAGTAAGAGAGAGAGCAGGATAGCAGATGAACAAGAAGGCTTCAGGAAGGGTAGGGGGCATGTAGACCAAGTGTTTACAGTGAAACATATAGGTGTACATTATTTAGGTAAGGATAAAGAGGTTTTTATGGCATTTATGGATTTAGAAAAGGCATATGATAGGGTGGATGTTGCAAATGTATGGAACAGGAGGTAGGTTACTGAAAGCAGTGAAGAGTTTTTATGAGGATAGTGAGGCTCTGGTTAGAGTACGTAGGAGAGGGGGAGATTCTTTCCCAGTAAAAATAGGCCTTAGATAGGGATGTGTGATGTCACCATGGCTATTCAATATATTTATAGATGAGGTTGTAACAGAAGTAAATGTTTGGGTGTTGGCAAAAGGCATGGGGTTAAAAGATAAAGAGGGAGTTGTCACAGTTGCTCATTGCTGATGACGTTGTGTTTTTGCGAGATTGTGAAGAGAAGTTGCAGAGGTTGGTGGACAAGTTTGGTGGGGTGTGTAAAAGAAGGAAATTAAAACTGAATATGGGAAAGAGTAAGGTGATGAGGATAACAAAAATTTAGGTAACGAAAGACTGGATATTAGATTGGAGGGAGAGTGTATGGAGGAAGTGAATATATTCAGATATTTGGGAGTGGACATGTCAGCAGATGAGTCTATGAACATGAGGGGGATCATAGAATTGATGAGGGGAAAAAAACAAGAGTGGTGCAATGAGGAGTCTGTGGAGACAAAGAACATTATCCAAAGAAGCAAACAGGGGAATGTATGAGAGCATAGTTATACCAAAGCTCTTATATGAGTGTGAAGCATGGGTGGTGAATGCTGCAACAAGTAGAAGCCTTGAGGCAGTAGAAATGTCGTGTCTGAGGGCAGTGTGTGGTGTGAATATAATACAGAGAATCTGTTACAGAAATAGAGAGTATTGAGAAACACACACAGCAATAAATCTAAAGATTTACTAAATGTAAATATGAGCTCTTAACCTAGTCTTTGCTGCAATGTTGAGAGCTCATGCCTCACACCCATGTAATTCTACTGATATCACTATACACTGATATACAGCCTCTCCCACTTAGTGACTGCTCGTTTACCAATGCCTCGGACTTATGACAAGCTCTCTGACCAGTATTCAAAACTAAATGATGTATATTAGAGCTGATTTCCTCTACTGTTTATTTAATATACAGTACACCACTGTATAAACATTTAAAAATACACTAGAAATGTTATAAATGGTGCAAAGGTGACATTAACCCTTTGACTCTCGCGGCCGTATATATATGTCTTACGAGGTACCGTGTTTGACGTATATATACTCATAAATTCTAGCGGCTTCAAATCAAGGAGGAGAAAGCTGGTAGGCCCACATGTGAGAGAATGGGTCTGTGTGGTCAGTGTGCACCACATAAAAAAAATCCTGGAGCATGCAGTGCATAATGAGAAAAAAAACTCCGACCGTTTTTTTTAATTAAAATGCCGACTTTGTGGTCTATTTTCGTATAGTATTTATGGTTGTATTCTCGTTTTCTTGGTCTCATTTGATAGAATGGAAAACATGTTATAGAAAAAGGGATGATTTTGACTGATTTTACTATAAAAAGAACCTGGAAATGGAGCTCAAAGTAGGGGAAATGTTTGATTTTTGCCAATGTTCAAAAGTAAACAAATGACATCATTTTATAATAAATGTCCAACTAGCCATTCTAATATGCAGTCATGAATGGGTTGATGTTATTTATACAATTATTGCAGTATTGGAGTAGTCTGCATAATAGTAAATCTTCTATTTTTTGTTTGAATAAAAATTCAAAATAGAAAGCAAGAGTAATATCAGAGAGGCCTGGAGACATGATTGATGAACAAAGAAAATGTTATTTTAGAGCCAGGAATGTCTGCATTGTTCATTCTGACCACGTTATTGGGTAGTTGAAATTGGTAAATGGGCAGTTTCTTGTACTCAATCGATAGAAAAAAACGGAGTTCAAAAGAAATAGCTATGAGTTTGGTCGACTCGAACAAAGGAATTAGCCGAAAATAGGGCTCAAAGTGGGCGAAATCGCCGATTTGTAAATATCGCCAAGGTCGCTAACTTCGCGAGAGCGTAATTCCGTCAGTTTTTCATCAAATTTCGTTTTTTTGGTGTCATTACAATCTCGAAAAGATTCTCTATCATTTCATAAGAAAAAAAAATTTTTTTTTTTTTTTGAAATTTTGCGACACCAGGAGACACCTCAGGATTGGGGGTTGTGACAGTCAAGGGGTTAAAACAATATCAAAGAAGGTTGACACAAACTCACTACCATTATAGTATGCTCCTCACTTAGCAACGAATTCGTTTAACGACATGGTCTTAGGAACGGAACTCTGTCGTTAAGTGAGGAGAGGCTGTATTCTCAATTTTGCCTCCACTGATAACCTTTGTTTCTATTCATATGCTTTATACTGTAGTACAGTACTCAAGCAATTACTAATAAACTATTAATTCTCTGATTATATTTGTAGTAATGCTGAAGTTTATGTAAGATTTTAACCAAGCAAACCATTTTCAATTACAAATTGACTTAGTCTAATTGGTATACTTGTACTTAAAATTTTATTTCACAAATAACACTAATGTATTATAGTACACTACAGTCTTTCCTATTCAACATGCTACATATTTTTAAGTCATAAATATATCACTGAAGGGGCTTGCATGATACCATCTCTTATTCTTTACTAAGAAACTAGCACGAAAAATTGCCATCCATTTAAATTACCTGATTTAAGGGCTGCATGACTCGGAGAAGGTGATGCCAAGTCATCAAATATTCCATCATCAGTGAAAAACGAAGATGCCATTGCTGACTCCCCAAACATAAGACCAGGCTGATCAGCTATCTCATCATCAATCAAGAAGTCTTGATCCAGGTCTCCCCTTCCAGCATTTAATGTTGGAGTGCACATACCGGAGAGGGTTGACCTATCGCCTGATTCAACCATTACATTCACCGTGCTCATGGACTTTTGCAAATCAGCAGATGACTCAAGTGATGACTTTGATTCAAAAGATGATTTCATTACAGATAATGTTTGATAAAATGGTTGTTTCTTTTCAATAGGTGATCCAATCGGTGATCCAACAGGTGAGTTTTGTACACTTTCACTTGAACTATTTTGTGCTTTGGAAGGAAGTTCTGATAATGAATTCAATTCAGTAGGAATAGTCTGTGATTCAGATGTTGTTACAACCTGCTGAGATTTCTGCAATACACTTGGTTTTGATGTCCCTTCAGTTGATAGTGAAATTGAAGATCCTGAAAGAGAGGCAGCCGAATCCACATCAGATTCTCTTTTGGTTTCAAAATTAATAGTCTTGCTTTCATGGCTACTCTCAGCCTCTGTTGCTGAGTATTCAGGATCATCTTTAATAAATTCTGGAGTTAAGTCTATTGTTTCACTTAGAGATTCTAAGATTTCAAATGAAGATTCAGACTGAGGTGTAATTGCTTTCATACCAACATCATCTGGAGTGTGAGGGATATGCTTATTACAAAAGTCGACCCCCTCAAGTACATCTTCTATCTTATCAGAGAAACTACAGTCAGTGACATCATTTGATGTGTCAGCAGCATCTGTGGATTGTGAAATGTCTGCGTTTGTGTCTTCAACCATCAGTTTTTCCGTTTCTTGCATGTCTTGAGAGCCCTTACTGAAGCTAGATGTAATATCACTACTCGTATCATTTTCAAAAGGTACATCATCATCCTTGCCTATATTTGCGATTTTACAATATGAATTTTCATAGTAACTGCCATGATTTTCTGTCTCAATTACAATATTTGTCTCTTTCTGCATTTCTGTTTCAACTGATCCCACAATCAGTATGTCTCCTGCCACAGTCTTCGAGGAAGAGAGTTTAGAATTTAATCCTTGGTTTAACTCAGAGTTTGAAGATCTCAGTGCATCACTTTTAAGCACTTTACATTCACTGTATTCTAACCTTCGGCAAACTGGCTTACTTAATTCAATCGTCTTTTCTGTCACAGGCATAACAAGAAGAGGGGTTTTTCCAAAGAAGTAGGTCTAATAATAGGCTTTTTTAGACTAGTTCTTCTTAATACTGGTGTTTGTTGGGGTTTCTTACTTGGAGTGGTTTCTATTAGTGCTACACGACTTCTGACTAGCCCTGAACTTCCAGGAATTTTAGTTACATTAGTTGTTGGACTGTTAGCACTATTAGATGTACTGGTAGTATAATCCCCACTCCTCCCAGAAGAAGACTGGTAGCCATACCCAAATCGATTTCGACTATAAGGTGCGAACTTCTGTCTTGCCATGCCGTAAGTAATTGTTCCTTCCCTTTTCTCTTTACTAGTTTTTGATTTCTTTTCTGCTACCAATTCTGGTTTTACAGATGCTGGAGATCCAGCATCTGTGACACTTGATCCTTTCATTTCTAAACTATGTCTCTTTACTTCAAATTCTCCAGTACCATTAAAGCAAACCTCCATAGCCCCAGATCTTCTCTTCACTGAGTCTTGGGATTTTAACTTCTCTCTTAACCAGGCATCGGAGACATCTTCTGTACTTTCTACATTACAGGATCTGAGGGTATCTGTCTCTCCATCACCATGAATTTTATCACTTTCACTTGATGATCCAAGCCCTGAATCAGCTTCTGTAGCTTCTGTAACAGACTTTGTGGAGGATTCAGAATCTCTAGAGACTCGTGGAATATGCTGACTGTTACCTGGCGACTGCTGCTTCCCTCTAGAAGTTTGGTCAACCTGAATCTTAGTCGAGTTTTGTGAGACAGGTCTTACTGATGGGCTTTTAACTCTATCTCTAACTGAAGGGCTTAGAGATTTTCCAGTATTTGGCATTGGACTATGAGGGCTGGAAATATTGAGCTTGGGACTATGCAAACTTGGAGCTTGGGTCTTTGGATTAACAGGTTTAACAGTCACTACTTGAGGTTTGGGTAGCTGGCGAGTAAAAGCAGTAATGCGTCCTGACTGTAAACCAGAACCTAACTTGGGAGTATTATTTAAGTTTGGAGATTTATTTAATTTTGCAAAAGGTGATTCTAGCCTCCTTGGTGTTTCTATATGGCTATTGTCACAAGAAACTTTGTCACTATTTTTCTTTGTGCATTTATTGTTTTCAGTGTCATCATCACAAAGGTCAAAAATGTTAGAGTTGGAATCAGAAATTGTCTGTGCATCACTTAAAATAGAATTCACACTGTCTGTGCTATCACCGGATTTAACCTCAGCACTAGAGCGGAACCCAAATCTATTGAGCGAATTGGTTTTGTTCAAAAGTTTTGTGGGTGCTGGTGCGACAGTTGCAGATTTGTATGGTGTTCTACCGTGTAAAGTTGCAGGACTTGCTCCTCCGGAGCTGCGGGACCCTGACCGAGTTCTGAAAAATGAAGTTAAAATATTTTAGAGAAAAGTGCATATAACACAGCTATAGCATCATTAAAGCTTTATATTAGGCTATATTACACTTAACTTATTCAAAATATTCTCATCACAGTTTCATTTAAAATGCATCCCACACATTCTCATATTCATACCATTTGATATTTTTCTTTTTTTTTTCTTAACACATTGGCCATTTCCCATCAAGGCAGGGTGACTCAAAAAAGAAGAAACACTTTCATTATCATTCACTCCATCACTGTCTTGTCAGAGGTGTGCCAGAACTACTGCTTAGAAACAGCAGCATATATCCACCCCTCCTTCAGAGTGCAGACACTGTATTTCCCATCTCTGGGATTCAAGTCCAGCTAACTGGTTTCCCTGAATCCCTTCATAAATGTTACTGTGCTCACACTCCAACAGCACATCATGTCATAAAAGCCATATCCCTCCACTTATCCTAACATGCTCACACACGCTTGCTGGAAGTCTAAGCCCCTCACACACAAAACCTTCATCCCCCTCCCTCCAGCCTTTCCTATTACAACCCCTACCCTGCCTTCCTTTCACTATAGATTTCTATGCCATCCAAGCTATTCTATTTTGTTCTATCCTGTCTAAATGTCCAAACCACCTCAAGAACCCCCTAAGCCCTCCAGATTATACTTCTAGAAAACCTGCACCTCCTTATCTCCAACCTACAGATACCCCTGCATAATTTTTTTACTTTAGCAGTCTCCCACCAAGGGTGAGTGGCATAAAACAAAGGAAATACATTCACCATTATTCAATATCTGTATTGCTGAAAGTGTGAAGAATCAGAATTCAGATGACTCCTCTGAGTATACTTTTTTTTTTTCAATAAGTCAGCCATCTCCCACCAAGGCAGGATGACCCAAAAAGAAAGAAAATCCCTAAAAACAAAATACTTTCATCATCATTCAACACTTTCACCTCACTCATACATAATCACTGTTTTTGCAGAGGTGCACAGATACAACAGTTTAGAAGCATATATAAAGATATATAACATATCCCTCCAAACTGCCAATATCCCAAACCCCTCCTTTAAAGTGCAGCCACTGTATTTCCCATTTCCGGGACTCAAGTCTGGCTATATAAAAATAACCAGTTTCCCTGAATCCCTTCACTAATTATTACTCTGCTTACACTCCAACAGCTCATCAGGTCTCAAAAACCATTCATCTCCATTCACTCCTACCTAACATGCTCACACACACTTGCTGGATTTCTAAGCCCCTCGCCCACAAAACCTCCTTTACCCCCTCCCACTAACCATTTCGAGGACAACCCCTACCCCGCCTTCCTTCCCCTACAGAATTATACGCTCTCCATGTCATTCTGCTTTGATCCATTCTCTCTAAATGACCAAACCACCTCAACAACCCAGCTTCAGCCCTCTGACTGATACTTTTATTAACTCCACACCTTCTCCTAATTTCCACACTCCAAATTCTCTGCCTAATATTTACACCACACATTGCCCTTAGAGAGGACATCTCCGCCTTCAACCACCTCCTTGCTGCAGCATTTACAATCCAAGCTTCACACCCATATAAGAGTGTTGGTACCACTATACTTTCATACAGTCCTTTCTTTGCTTCCATAGATAAGGTTTTTTGTCTCCATTCATACCTCAATGCACCACTCGCCTTTTTCCCTTCATCAATTCTATGTTAAATTAGACACAAGTGCAACTCTTGGGTATCTTTATTGAGGAAAAGTTTCACCACACAGTGGCTTCATCAGTCCATACACAGGAGAATCTTGAAGAACAGGAGGAGAATGAGGTAATCAGTCCCTCAACCTTGAGTCAATGTGGTCAGCCCATCAATCTTGAATAGAATACAGCATATGTGCGGAGGAGCTTATAAACCGTAGGCAGGAGAGATGCAGCAGTAGGTGGTGAAGCGTTTCCTCAATAAAGATACCCAAGAGTTGCACTTGTGTCTAATTTAACAACGTGTCGGTTCTCTGAACCATTCATCTACAATTCTGTCAGACACTGCAATTTCTTGGGATCTTAATACAGTGGACCCCCGATTAACGATATTTTTTCATTCCAGAAGTATGTTCAGGTACCAGTACTGACCGAATTTGTTCCCATAAGGAATATTGTGAAGTAGATTAGTCCATTTCAGATCCCCAAACATACACGTACAAACGCACTTATATAAATACACTTACATAATTGGTCACATTAGGAGGTGATCGTTAAGCAGGGGTCCACTGTACTTGGGAATTCTTCGCTTGCCTAACCCTTGGGCACGACCTACTTCCACATTGAACAAATGTGACACCACCTACGGCTGCTGCACCTCTCCTGCCTACGGTTCATAAGCTCCTTCTCCGCACATATGCTATATTCTATTCAAGATTGATGGACTGACCACAGCGACTCAAGGTTGAGTGACTGATTACCTCATTCTCCTCCTGTTCTTCAAGATTCTCCTTTGTATGGATTGATGAAGCCACTGTGTGGTGAACGTTTCCTCAATAAAGATACCCAAGAGTTGCACTTGTGTCTAATTTAACAACGTGTCGGTTCTCTGAACCATTCATCTACAATGAATTCTATGGTTAACCTTATCCTTCATAAGCCCATCCACTGACACATCAACTCCCTAATACGTATCCGAAAACATTTACTTCTTCCATTCTCCCTCTCTCCAATGTGGTATCCAATTTTTCTTTATCTAAATCATTTGATACCCTCATCACCTTACCCTTATCTATGTTCACTTTCAACACACTACCTTTACACACCCTCCTAAACTCATCCACTAACCTTTGCAACTTTTCTTTACAATCTCCCATAAGCACAGTATCATTTTGTATTTGATTCCCCATAATTTAATCTCACCCCTCTCCCCGACACCCTAGCATTTACTTCTTTTACAACCCCATCTATAAATATATTAAACAACCATGGTGACATTACACATCCCTGTCGTCTAAGACCTACTTTTACTGGGGAGTAATCTCCCTCTCTCCTACACACCCTAACCTAAGCCTCACTATCCTCATAAAAACTCTTTACAGCATTTAGTAACTTACTACCTATTCCATGTACTTGCAACATCTGCCACATTGCTTCCCTATCCACTCTATCATATGCTTTTTCTAAAACCATAAATGCAATGAAAACTTCCTTACCTTTATCTAAGTACTGTTCACATATATGCTCTACACATCCCCTACCCACTCTAAAGCCTCTTTGCTCAACTGCAATTATACTCTCTGTCTTACCTTTCTTTCAATAATAACCCTACCATACACTTTTCCTGGTATACTCAGTAAACTTATTCCCCTATAATTTTTACAATGTCTTTTGTCCCCCTTCCCTTTATATAAAGAAACTATATATGCTCTCTGCCAATCCCTACATACCTTCCCCTCTTTCATACATTTATTAAACAAAAATACCAACCACTCTAACACTATATCCCCCCTGCTTTTAACATTTCTGTCATGATCCCGTCAGTTCCAACTGCTTTACCCTTTCATTCTACGTAATGCCTCATGCACCTCCCCCACACTCACATCCTGCTCTTCTTCACTCTTAAAAGATATTATACCTCCCTGGCCAGTGCATGAAATTACCGCTTCCCTTTCTTCATTGACATTTAAAAGCTCCTCAAAATATTCCCACTATCTACCCAATACCTCCAGCTCCCGATCTACTACCTCCCCTATTTTGTTTTCAACAAACTGGCCGCATCCCACCAAGGCAGGGAAGCCCAAAATGAAAAACAAAAGTTCCTCTTTTTAACTTTATTAATGTATACAGGAGAAGGGGTTGCTAGCCCCTTGCTCCTGGCATGTCAGCCATACTTCACAACCATGTAAGTGCATTGGTATAACTATACTCTCATACATTCCCCTCTTTCCTTCCATGGATAATGTTCTTTGTCTCCACAGACTCCTCGGAGCTCCACTTGCCTTTTTACCCTCGTCAATTCTATGATACCTCGTTTTTCATAGACCTATCTATGTACTCCCAGATACATGTATCTGAATACATTCACTTCCTCCATACTCCCTCCATCCAATGTGATATCCAGTCTTTCATTACCTAATTTTTTGTTATACTCATCACCTTGCTCTTTCCTATGTTCACTTTTAATTTCCTTCTTTTATATGCCCTTCCAAACTCATTCACCAACCCCTGTAACGTCTCTTCAGAATCTCCCAACAGCACAATGTCATTAGCAAAAAGCAATTATTACAGCTCCCATTCGTCATCTCTTAATCTCACACCTCTTTTCAACACCCGAGTATTCACTTCTCTTACAACCCCATATATAAATATACTGAACAACCATGGTGACCTCACGCATCCCTGTCTAAGACCTACTTTTACTGGGAAATAATCTCCCTCTCTCCTACATACTCTAATCTCTTAACTGCTTTCGGTACCCTACCACCTATTCCATACATTTACAACATCTTCTATCGACCCTATCATATGCCTTTTCCAAATCTATAAATACAGTGAAAACTTCTTTACCCTTATCTAAATACTGTTCACCTATATGCTTCACTGTAAACACTTGGTCTACACACACCCTACCCTTCCTAAATGAGTGTATTTTGGGGTTTGATATGTTGTTGGAGTGGGAGAAGTATAACATTCTTTGAGGTAGATGAAAGCAGTTTGCTATACACGAATCCAGCAATCACTTCAAGCACCATCACAACAATCACTTCAGGCACCACCACAACCAAAAGCAATCACTTCAGGCACCACCACAACAATCACTTCAGGCACCACCACAGCAATTACTTCAGGCACCACCACAACCATAGCATCCACTCAGGCATCACCACAGCATCCACTCTGGCACCACCACAGCAACCACTTCAGGCACCACCACAACCACATCAATCACTTCAGGCACCACCACAACCACATCAATCACTTCACGCACCACCACAGCAACCACTTCAGACCACCACCACCACAAGAGCAATCAC